CCCCAACACGTACACGCACACAGCCCACCGCCACACAGATACAGACACACACTCACAGCCCCCACCCCCCACCACACACACACACACACACAAAATGACTAACCCAATATCATGCGTGAGGGTTTTGCAGAGCCCGGGCTTCACCCAGCCACAGTCTGGATCTCGGGCGGCCAAACAGGTTCTGGTGAGAGAGGGAGACGGGTTACAGTCTGCCGTGTGTGTTCCCCTCCCCCCTCTCTGGACCCCACCCACTCAGCCACACGTCCCATGCCCCCTCCACTCCACCATCGGTGGCCCCGCTTTCAGCCACTACGCCCCGATTGGCTGCGTGTGCGCGTGTGCCTGGGGAGGACCACTGTGTGAGGATACAAAGGCAGCTGATTTGCTTTCCCAGGTCTGGCTACGAGCAGGACATTGAGTTTGGAGCCCGGCTACCACAGGAGACGTGTGAGGGTGAGTTGGTGTGCGGTGTAATGTCCCGGTGACCTCTCTCACTCCCTCACGTTTTCTCTTACCCTCAACGACGACGACAACTTGCATTTATAATACCCAACTTGACTCAGTCGCCCTCTCGTCTCCGAGTCAGAAGGTTGTGTGTCCCGTCTGCCTGTTCAGGTGGACGTCAAAGATATCCCGCAGTGCTGTTAGAAAGGAGGAGTTTCTCTCTCTCTTCCGGTGTCCTGGCCAACAATTCCCCCGGATAAAATTGGTCGCTCGCTCCACGACTGTTTGTGGGGACGCTGCGGTGCGCAATCGGTTGCCGCGTTTCGCCCACAAAATACACAGTCAGTTGACTTTACAGTCTATTGTGTGATGCACTTTGAGACTCCTCCAAGACGTGACGAGGATTATTATTATTATATTATCACTGTCTGACTCGACCACCTCCTCAGTTCCACAATCTGTGTGAAGTAGTTCCTCCTAAATTCTCTTTTTGATCCCCAGTCGTCTTCGCGACGTCTCAAAGTGCTTCACGGGATACACCGCAAAGTGTAGTGACTGTATATTTTGCGACCCAAGGCACGGTCAAAGAAGACGGTCTTGAGACACGCCCCGAAGAAGACAAACGAGGGAGTGAGGCGGAGGGATTCCGGGATGAAGTTCCAGAGGGTTGGGGGGGCAGAGAGGCTGAAGGCCTGACCTCCGATGGTGGGGCGGGGCAGGCATCGGCAGGAGGACGTGGAGCAGGCAGTGCCGAAGGGACGGCTGGGCACAGGACAGCAACTAATAATCTTCATACACTCATTGCTTCTTTACTGCGGCTCTCGGTGTAACCGCCACAATGCTGGTGGCAATCTGACGAGCTGTTCTCTCTCAGTTGCAGGCGTGAGCCAAGAGCAGGGGAACAAAGAGTCTGGTCAGGACGTAACCGTCAACCTCCTGGTCATCTCCACCGTCTGTTCGTTCGTGTTGGGAGGTCTCGTGTCGGGGCTGCTGCTGTCCCTTTACTGCAGACGTGCCCTGAGCAAGGCAAAGCGCAGCAGCAAAATGGCCGACACCTGCTGCCCATCTCCCACCATCTCGCTCCCCACCTTGGTCAAGCTCAACAGGCTGCTGGAGTTGGATGGCGATGCCAAGGAAGGGAAAGAAGACGGCTGCTCACCCCGGATGTACACCAGCTTCCTGGTCAATGGCGAGCCCAAGAACCCGCAGGACCAATGCCCGCAGTTGGTCGGGTTGCCAACACCGGACGCCACTCCAGAACTTCCAGTGAGAAGGTCGACGGGTTTGAGGAACCTGAACCACAATGACGCCAAGGACTTTGGAGAGGTCAAGGCTTGCAGGCTAACCGGCCCCATACGTCGCTCCCCGAGCGGGCAGAACGTCCACATCCCGAGCGCGGCCGTCCTGCCCAACAATACACACGATCGGCCTGTGCCTGCGCTTGCTCCCGCACACGGTGCCCGCGAGCGAGACGCAATCACAGTCCGGGACGAGCACAAACTCCCCACTGCTCTCCCGATCAAGGAGGTCGCACTGGACACACTGATGAGACAAATCCAGGAGATGGGTGGAAGCACGGAAGCCAAGCTGATCGATACAGCCATCGTGTGCCCAGCCGTCCCTTTGGCAAACCGCAACCAGCCGAGAGTGCCCGATACCGAGACGGCAGCCTATTACACCTCCTGCACGCTGCCTCGGGACAGCTTGGTTGGCACGTGCCCACCGGGAGGGCAGTGCCGGTCGGCGGTGGAAGCCAACGGGAGATCGCTGCTGTCACGGAATCCACTGCCGCCTTCTCCTGGAGTCACGGACCACACCGCAAGCAGGCCTGCCCCCTGCGAGCCGGGCAGCCTCCCTCCTCCAGGTTTAGCTCGGACGGATTCCCAAGCTGGCACGGGGCGGAGGGTAAGAAGGGCAGCGTCCATCAAGCCTGAGCTCCTGCCTAAGCCGCTGCTTCCTCAGAGTCCTGGGAAGCCTCTCAGTTAATTTGAGGTCCTACAGCAGTGTTGGCCAACCTTCTTGATCAGCCAACCAACTGCATTCTCTTGATTGAATCTTCCTTGATTTATGGCAACGCAGCGCCACTCGGTAGCTACGGGAAACAAGGCATTGATTTGGAACGTGCCTCATCCCCGGGCGGCTGCCAGTGTTGGGCAGGCCACGTCACGACAGCCCCATGGACCAGAAGTGGCCCGCGGGTTGGCCATCACTGCCCTTCAGCAAGGGAGTGCACGTGCATCTGACTCCTAACCCACAGTAGCACAGCAGTTGGCAATCCCAATGATCCTCGACTTGACCTCCAGGGGGTGAGGAACCTGAATGACAATCCATTCGATCCATTGGATGACAACTGGGTGGTTTCAGACGGACTAGGATTGGAAGATAAGATCTTAACGTTCGCCTTTTGCATTCCGTCCCTACCCCAGCAACTCACTACGCAAGAGCTTCAAGCCTTATTAATCACGAACAGCCATAACAACGACAACTTACACTGACATTGCCCCCGCCACACAGGGTAGTGTCTCGGAGCCATTCAGACGTGGGAACGCACAGAGAGAAGCACATTTCAGCGATTGTACAATTGTACAGCGCCTTTCACGTAACCAGTTGGGTCCCCGAGCGCTGTGGAGCGCCCGTCCGAGCCCCTCAGAGGCTTCCTGGCAGATCCGAGGATGGATTTACGGGCAACAGCACAGCACACTCAAAGTCCGTGCGACATTGCCAACGCATCCAGTCTTCCACTGTACCCAGCGAGCAACAACAAGAACAAATTCCATTTGCACAACTCCTTCCACGTCAGGAGGACGTCCCAAAGTGCTGGACGGTCAACGAACAGCTCGAGGAGAGGCACAGTCTGCAGTGACTGAGAAACGAGTACAGGGACTATATTGACAATATATTGGGGTGAAAATTGCTGGCGCTGAACGTGGTTAAATGAGGTGCGGGGAGGGGGGGGGGTCAAAGCCATGCGATGGAGAGACCCCGGGGTTGTGTTTTGGCTCTGTATCCATGGAGCACACTGCGAGTACCCACGTGTATGTATACCCATGAGTACGTGCGGAGCAAAGAAAGGCTTTGCCTTCTGACCCATTGGAACTTTCACGGACATCTTTCACCGTTTGCTGCCGACACGAACAAACCTTTATGCAAAGTTTAACCGCCTTTAAATTATTGTTTTTTTTCACCCAAAGGAGCTCAAGTCTGAAATGTCTTATTGCGGAACAGTTCGGGGTTGTTTAGATGTTGGGCCTTGGGTTCGTTTCACACGGAAGGATTGTCCAACCTTCCCTTTCACTCCCGTCTGTTCCACCTCCCGTTCCCCTTTCCAGTGGCCTAACATTGCCTCCCCGGTCCATAATAATAATCCTCGCGTTCGACACAGCGCCTTATCACGTCTTCGAGACGTCTCAAAGCGCTCCACGAGATACACTGTAAAGTGGAGTGACTGTGTGTTTTGTGGGGGAAACCCAGCAGCCAATTGACGTCCCCACAAACAGTCATGGGTTGAAGTGACAAATTTATTATTATTTTCTGGAGGGATTATCAGGACTGGAAAGTGATCCCCAGTCGACTAATAAACGGGTTCCTACTGACTGCTGGGAAACACAGGCGTGTGCGTGCGTGCGTGCGTGTGTGTGTACGTGTCTGAACTCCTTCCCCTCTGGGCATCCTCCCGCAACGACCTATCCTCCTCGATCACTCCTCCTCCACGTGATAAGTAGCCTTGGATTAAGACTGAAGTGAACACTTTTCTAAAATTCCGTGTAATTGTAGGTTTAAGATGATTTTAAAAATAAATCCTAATCCTCGGATTTGATTCAGCGCCATATCACATCGTCGAGACGGCTCAAAGCCCTTCACAGCATGTACTGTATTAACACTATAATGTACAGACATGCCTCGGAGTCAGAAGGTTGTGGGTTCGAGCCCAAAGTTGGGACTCGTGCACAGCAGCGTCCCACGAACAGCCACGGAGTGAGTGACCAATTTTATTTGGGGGTTATTGGCCAAGGCACCTCAGGTTAACATCTCACCCGAAGGACGGCACCTCCGACAGTGCACACACTACACCAACCCCCCCCCCCCCGCAACACACGCTCTCAGGCTTTATACCAATTGCAAGGATTATTATTTTATACAAAGAATAATAATAATAATCCGAGCATTTGGTGTTATCATGTCATTGCGACGTCTCAAAGTACAGCTGCCAATTAGGAATGTCCCACAGTCAGTCACGAGTTGAGGGTTATTTAAGAAGCTACTTCACAATTGGAGACAGCTGGCAATGACTGGCCTGGGCAGGGACTAGTTTTTCTTGTTAGGGCTCATTCAGCCACTAAAACCTCGTAGGTGGAGCAACGTCACCAATAAAGATCACCTCAGCAATCCAGGTTGGACACAGCACTTGGATCAACCCAACTGCATTGCTGAATCAGCCGTTGAAAGTTCGAGCGACTTCAAAGTTCATCCACTTTGCAAGTACGTGTACTTTGTGATTTTGATTGGAAACGGGTCATGGGATACGTTTATGACGGTGGCTTTTCTGGGGGAGAGAATGAGGTTACCATTTCACACACGTTTTCATTTTTTGACCATTCCGTTTTCCTCCCCAAACTGCTATTGAACGTGTGTGGAAGGGCGCAGGTAAGAGATTCTTGTACAGATTCTTATTAACAGGTTCTTATTCAGGAAGGGAGAGAGCGATGGATCTTCCTGTGAGAACAACGGGAGAGAACACGAGTGTGAAAAAAGAGACAGGCAGTGTGAGAGCAGGTGAACAGAAGGGGTAAACGCCTCACTTTTATACGTTTCAAATGCTAAAACTCCATTAATGGAACTGGATTCAGATTTGTAAAACTTATTGATTTGCTCTCTCCGTGGACAAGCGTCTCGGGAGTGCCATCTTCACTCTCCTCACCTTCATCCGTGCTCCCCTTCCTCAAAGGAAACGGTTAATATAAGAATCATTGCATCTGATACAGCGCCTTATCATGAAGTTGAGACATCTCAAAGCGCTTCACGGGGTATTCTGTAGAGTGAATTGCTTGTATATTTTGTGGGCGAAACATAGCATATAAATAGAGGGGTGCAGCAGCGAGGTGATTAGGAGGGTTGGAGTATAAACCGATGGAATAAACACACGCTACATGTCATGAACTGTACAGTCTACATTCAGCAAACTCCTGATAATTCGACCCTGGCTTAATGTGCCCCGACCACTTGTGCTATCAATATCTTGGCCACATGTATTTGTATATTTATGCCACGTATCTACATTCCACCCTCTGGAACGCCATCCCACAGTCCCTCCACCTCGCCCCCTCCCTTGCCTCCTTCAAGACCCATCTCCAGACCCTCCTCTTCGACCGTGCCTTCGGCTGTTACCGTATTAATAGCCTTACAGATAATAGGGCCTTTATGCCAGCAGTCGAAGATGGAGCTGATCCAATACCATTATAAACCATTCTCTCCAAAACTTTTCGAAAATAATTTAGCTGTCGTTGCCCGTTTCCCTTCCTTTTTAGGGTCTTGTCTTGAAGACGTGATAAGGTGTTGTGTGAAATGCAAGGATTATTATATTATTATTTATCACACAGAAAAATGAATCTTCCTGAATATTTTGCAAGGATTGGCTATCAGGGTCAGGACGACAAGGCAGATGTGGAGACACTCAGAAGGATTCATGAGCAGCACACTTTAGCAATCCCATATGAAAACCTCAGCATTCACTGCGGGGAAGACATTGGCCTTGACCTACAGATGATCTATGACAAAATAGTTAAGAAAAAGCGAGGTGGTTGGTGCACTGAAAACAACGGACTGTTCTACTGGGTATTAAAGGAGATGGGATACGATGTTGTGATGTTAGGATCGCAAGTGTACAACTGCGAAGATAACATGTACTCTGCCAAAGTTGATCACCTCGTGCTCCTGACCACCATTGATAATAAGCCTTACCTAAGTGACGTCGGATTTGGGGTATTGAAGCAGATGAGGCAACCACTGGAGTTAACCTCAGGAAAAGACCAGCCTCAGCTTCCTGGTGTCTATCGGCTAACTGAAGAAAATGGTGTTTGGGAGCTCGAAAGATATGGCAGAAAGCTGCAGGCCGCAGATGAAAGCTATGCCAACTCTTCTTTGTTCAGTCGAAGCCCTCACCAGAAAATGTACAAGTTCACACTCGCAACTTGTACCTTACAGGACTTTCAGGACGTAAACCTGGAGCTTCAAACCTCCCCCAAGTCCTTGTTTGTCAATAAATCCATTTGCGCTGTTCAGACCGTTGAGGGCTTCAAAGCCCTCATAGGCTCGACCTACAGCGAGTGGATATTCGGCTATAGAGAGGGCGAGGATTTGGTGACCCTCACGACTGTCGGCAAGGGAGATCACGAAAAAATACTCAAAGAGAAGTTCAACATTTTGCTGGAGAAAGAATTCCAACCGGTTAACAATCCTCCCGACGTGAAAGGCGCTCCCTGAATGGAATCTTGTTGTTGTTGTAATCGTTGCATTGCATATAGCGCCTTATGTCGTTGAGAAGTCTCAAAGCGCTTCACTGGAAAACAGAGGTGAAACAGATCAGGAAGGGCTATTATCATGTTATAGCGTAGAATTTAGTTTTGATTCAGTGTATCTTTAATAATCCTTACAATCCTTGCATTTGCACCTGATCACATCGTCTAGACTTCTCAAAGCGCTTCACAGGATTGTGTAGTGACTGTATCGGCTCATTTGCACACAGCAATGTCCTAAAAATAGTTGTGAAGCGAGTGACCGATTCTACCAGAGGCCTTGTTGACCAGGACACTGGGAGAGAGAAACACTGGGGGGGGGGGGTGGGGGGAGTGTCAGGCTTTAACGCCCTTACGTGGGGTGAGGGCTTTAAAGTTCTTATCGAAACTGATCTACAAATGGACACAGAATTCTCATTTTGGATGCAGATGCAGGAAATGTACGTTGTTGTGATAAACCTGAACTAATAGTGAAATTAAAATCCAGATATTATTCTGAACTTGTTAATTATTCTGATTCTGTTAACGGTGTGAGTTTTTGTGTTCAATATCATGGTCCTGTCATCAATATCTTGGATGCATTGGTTACAGTACCGGGTCTTTCTGAACCCTTTGATCACTTGATCAAAAAAAATAGCCTTTACGCAGAGCGATTCACAGTGGGAGTTCGTCCTGAGGCACTGAGCAGAGCGTCTGTTAGAGGTCATCAACCCCCCCCCCCCCCAACCCAACAACCCCTCAACCCAACAGCCCCCCAACCCATCAACCTCCAAACCCATTAACCCCCAAAGCTAACAAACCCCCAAATTGTCAAACAGGGCCTATCTCTCGCCACCCCAAGCCTGTCAGTCGCCATCTCTCGCCACACAGAGCCCGTCAGTCATGCTCCCGCATTTGGTGCCACTCCCATGGGGCTAATTCGCGGGCAGTGTAGTTGTTGGCACAATGGTAGGGCAGGGTCTGTGCTTGCTCCGTGCCTGGCACGGAGATAAGGTACCATATGTGGGCACACGACTGGAACGGTCAGCATGAGGGAGAGGCCATGTGGTGAGGGAGACAGAAAAAACATGTGGTGAGGGAGAAAATAATACCTGGGGGATAAATGCAGTGTACAGTTTGGGACACGACATGTCCAGCGACTGCCAGGATGGTGAACGGCGCACCTGATGGACCTCGGTCTTCTTTCGACCAGAAAATTCTTACGGAGAGGCCATGTGGTGAGGTGAGTCCGAAAGGCGCTTTGCAAATGTAATTCGGTTGTTTGTTTGTTTGCTGTCGTTGGGGATGGTTTGCTGTTGAGTGTGGTGTTCGTGGGGGTGAGCTTGCTTGCGTCCATGAGATACAGAGGCAGAACCAACAGGCACGTCACCGTTGCATGATCTCAACAGATTTATTCCAAATCAGAGAGAAAAGGTCAACTTCAGTAGAACATTGCACGCTACACAATTGACATTTATGCAGCTGAAAGCGCGACCGCCGAGGGAGGAACCGAGGGGCAAGCAGGAGGCCGGAGCCAGGCGAGCGGTGGCAGAGGGAAGTGGGTTGGGGAGTAAGCGGGTCGGAGTGGCAGGGAGGTATCCAGGGAATGAGGGGTTTAAACCAAGGTCCCGTCTGCCTGTTCTCCAGTTGGATGTTAAAAGATATTGTAAAACCGCTGGAAGAGAGGAGGGATCTCCCAGTTTTCTGGGCAACAATCCTCCGGATAGATATATCGTACGTGTGCGCGGGACCTTACTGTAAAATGCTTTGAGATTAGATTTGACATTGTTTTTTATCTGCTTTAGAGCTTTTATCTGGATCGGTAGCAAATGCCACAAGGTGGCACTGTCTACGTGTTCAGCGTGACTCAAGTCAGTTTCATTTGGTGTGTCAGCCTGACTCACTGGTCACGCTCTCGCCTCTCAGCAGTCAGCAGCCGCTCCCTCTGTACCTGTTTCTATGAGTCTGAAAGCTCGCAATGCGCCTGTTGGATCTGCCTTTGTATTTCATGGACGCAAGAGAGCCCCCAATAGGACCTGAGTTCATGGGCTTAAAATAATAATAATAATAATCATCCTTGCATTTGACACCAGCACATTATCACAACTTCCAGACGTCTCAAAGCGCTTCACAGAACATACTATAAAGTGCGGTGACTGTGTATTTGGTGGGTGAAACGCGGCAGCCGATTGCACCCCCAGCGATGTCCCCACAAACAATCGTGGGTTCGAACTTTTTTGTTGTTGGAGGGATTATTGCCGCTGGAAAGCGATCCACCGACTGACTGACAGCCGGGTTCCTACGTACGGCTGGGGGTAAACAGAGGCGTGGGGAGTAGCCTGGACAGGCCTGCAGGGGTGGGGAGAGGCAAGAGCCGGGAAGGATTTGTCGCGTACAATAAGGATCTTGCCTTGTTCCTCTGGGGCGAAGTTGATTGATTTCACTGATGGTTTGCCAAGTCCGAACAGTACAAGACAAACAGGAAGTTGGATTCCATTGCCAAACGAGATGCATTCTCATACCATGGGGTAACAGCTCAAATTATTTCATAGGCAGATCAGGGTGGCTCACAAATGCTGCGTATAGTTCCGGCGCAGTGGTAGCTCTCTCGCCTCCGAATCAGAAGCTTGTGGGTTCGAGCCCCCACGTCAGCCCTTGGAGTCACACAGTCTAAGCTGACGCTCCAGTGCAGCACCGGAGGCTGTTGCATTGTCGGAGGTGCCGTCCTTCGGATGAGCTGTTAAACCGAGGTCCCGTCTGCCTGTCCGCGGGTGGATCTTAAAGATCTCCTGCGGCGCTGCTCGAAAAGAGAAGGGAGTTTCTCTCTCTCTCCCCCGGTCTCCTGGCCGACAATCCCCCAAATAAAATCGGTCGCTCGTTCCATGACTGTTTGTGGAGACGTTGCTGTGTGCAAAGTGGCTGCAATGTTTCGCCCACAAAATACACAGTCACTGCACTTCACAGTATACTTGGTGACATCATCCGCACACTACAACTCACTGCCAGTCAGGAACCTGGGGGTCTTGCTCCACCCTCAACTATCTATTCTTCCCCACATCTCCACATCCAAGACCCGCTCTGCCTTCCCTCACCTCCGTGAGGCCCGACTCTGCCACTCCCTCACCCCTCAGGTGCTGAAACTCTTGTTCATGTCTTCATCACCTCCAGGCTCGACTATGCAAACGCCCTGCGTGTCGGCCTTCCCAACCCCTCCCTCCACAGCTGCAGATAATCCTGAACTCTGCACCAAACTCCATGACCCCATCTCCCACACTCTCGCCCAACTCCATTGGCTCCCTATCCTTCAGAGGATCCAGTTCCAGATCCTGGTCCTCACCTGACAAAGCCCTCCATGGCCTCGCCCCACCCTACCTCTGTGACCTCCTAACCCCTACCAACCCGCCCGATCCCTCCGCTCAGGCTGCTCCACGTCCCCCGTCCCACCCGCCCCACCATTGGCGGGAGAGCCTTCAGCCCCTCTGCCCCCAACCTCTGGAATTCCATCCCCACAGTCACTTCACCTCACCCCCTCCTCAGCCTCCTTCAAGTCCCGCCTCAAGACCCTCCTCTTTGACCATACCATTGGCCATCCCCTCCCCTCCCTTCTCACCCCCGGCCCTCAGCTCGGGTCTGAAATGCTGTCACTGTCCCGCCCCTCGGGACGTCCTCCCGACGTGAAAGGCGCAATACACATGTAACCTTGTTGCTGTTGTTGTTGTTGTATCAAGTACAAGGATTCTTATTGATACAGCTCTGGTCGGGATGAGTAGAGGACAGGACCGTGAGGCGGAGACAATCGGCGGTAGGTAGTTGGGTGGGTCGGTTATTTTGAAAACAGTGAATGACTCAGTAATCTGTCATTACTCTCTCATTAAAGCCATCTCTTTGTAACAGGATTCTATTGTGTGAGTCGTACTGTCTCATTCATGCAGTTTCCCCTCTACGTTGTGTGCATTTGGTGTTTCTGTAGCAACCGACTGACTTCAAGCCCATGGACTATTTTCGGAGTCCAGGAGTAACCGGATGGAAATGGTTGGGTGCGCGGAGCCCCGACCTCAGCACCCAAACCCACGCTGCTTGTCCCGATGGAGGTTAAAGATCTCCCACGGCGCTACTCGAAAAGAGAAGGGAGTTTCTCTCTCCCTCTCTGCCTCTCGGGCTGACAGTCACCTTCCTAAAACTCATCGCTCACTCTGTGGCTTCGCGCAATATGGCTGCCGCATTTGGCCCACGCAACACACAGTCAAACGACTTCGCGGTATGTCCCGTGAAGTGCTTTTGAGACGTGTTGACGACGTGATAAGGTGCTGCGTCAAATGCAAGGATAATTATTATTATTAATAATAATTATTTGGGGGTGAAACGCGGCAGCCGATTGCGCACAGCAGCGTCCCACCAACAGTCGTGGTTTGAAGTGACCAATTTATTACTGTTTTTTTTTCTTGAGGGATTATTATCAGGCGTGTGGAGTAAGGAAACTTGCCCAAGGTTTCGCCCTGACCTGCCGGGAATCCAACCCGGGTCTCTCGCTTGCGAGGCGAGCGCTCTAACCACTGAGCTACAGGTCTCCACATGTCTGATATTACAGACATGACACAGGACGACGTGAAACAGGTCAGTGATGGTGATTCCTCCAGTGGGGGAGTGAGCACAGGTTCACTGAGTTCATAGGAGTTCCCTCGTCTATGCTGCAAATGATACGATACTCTGAATCCATTTTGTTTTGAAATATAAGGGGAAAGAGTGGAACAAGGGAGTCACCAGGAACTCGGAAGGTTCTGTGCCGAGCAATTTATTCCTTATGTGTGTTTTGGCAAAAGGGCTGTGGCAAAACTTAGTCATCAGCTTACAGTACAGTAATGCCAGGTGACTAAAGCAAGGCAGAGCAGCCTGCTAACTAATACCAGGCCACTCGCTCGCTCCCTCCCTCCCTCACTCGCTCGCTCCCTCCCTCACACCCTCACTCCCTCCCTCCCTCCCTCGCTCGCTCCCTCATTCACACCCTCCCTCCCTCGCTCGCTCGCTCGCTCACTCACTCATTCACCGAGGATTGTCTCAGTCCTGAGAAATCATAATAATAATAATAGTAATAATCCTTGCGTTTGATACAGAGACTTATCACGTCGTCGAGGTGTCTCAAAGCGCTTCGCGGGACACACCGTAAAGAGGTTGGAGGCGAGAGTGCAACCCCTGAGCTCAGCTGATAGGCAAACAGCACTTACAGCGCACAATGCAATCACAGCGATGGAGAAAAATACAGAGACCCGAGCATCGTGACACAGCTAAACACTGACACACACACAGTTACACAGCTAAACACTGACACACACACAGTTACACAGCTAAACACTGACACACACACACATTTATAAAGCTCAACAATCCTTGCATTTGATATCGCGCCTTATCACGTTTTTGAGGTGTCTCAGAGCACTTCACAGAATACACTGCAGAGTGAATTGACTGTATCTTTTTTGAGGGCGAAAGCCAACCAACAACGGCAGCCAATGCTGCACAGCAG